CTTCAGCAGTTGTAAACTTGTTGCGGATCTGCTTGCGGTGCCGTAAAACATGACGCAACACCAGGAGATAAAATACCAGGGTAAGCAACATGGCAATGGCTATATGAATTCCCATAAATAAGAGGTAATACATTCCAAACAAGTTTGTGACTATAATTCCACACGTTTGAAGGTATTTGAAATACCCGATTGTCCCATGGCCTAGGACAATTGGTAGGACTACCAATGAGACCGATTCTGTCCAGATGATTACAACTATAGCAACGACTTTCTTTGGAGTATGGATACCTTGATGGCCGCGGACGGATCTCGTAATGACGTACCAACGGACGAATGCGATGGCGAGTAGGGTCAAGCTGCTACACCCCACACATGCAAAGAAGACTCCTCCTGTAGTTGCACAAACAATGTCATGCATGGGATAGCTTCCTCTTTGACTTAAGAGGCCCGCGCTCAGGAACGGAAAGCAGAGACACGTTACAAGATCGGTGACAGCAAGGTTGATGACCAAAATATTGGTGATTGTACGAAGTTTCTTCGCGACGATGACGGCGACGATGACGAGGGCATTACCAAACAGACCAATCGGTGTCAATGCGATCAGGATTGATGCAACAATAGCTCGATGATGAAACGCTATCACCGATAATTCTGTAAGATTTCCAAGACTTTGTTCTGAATTCATCCAGTCTATCGTTGTTACTGCCATCATGAAAAAGTCAAATCCCCCTGTGATTATATTCGTAGAAGCACTCTTGTTCTGGCAACCACTGTCTCATCCAGAATCGATTTTGATCAAGTGCTTTCTCTAATCAACAGCATTTAACGTCTCATACCATTCACCATAGCCGAATAACAAATCGCAAAGAATAGGTGATTCATCCACCTTTACTAACTTTGTAAATGCAATTGTGAAATAATCGACATCACTCTGTGATTTTATTCTTTAAAACCAGCCTCAATCTCGTGTTCAGTTTTCAGAGTTCAGTGAGAAACGACTTTGCTGCAGTGCTGCTGCTCTCAGTATCACCGTTTCTCGCCTTCGAATGCAAACTAGAACATAATATCCTATCGTGTCTTATGGGATGCTTTTATAAAACGACGCAGAGATTTGCAAGTCATCTCGCCACTTCACGTTTAACAGTATAATTGCTCCAAAGGATGGGCGTAATAATATGAAAGTGTCATTATTGACGTCTTAAGATTTTGACAAGCCTAATAAAAGTGACGTCCCTGTTCAATAAACCGCCTCCCCCATAACATGACTGACAATCAATCTCCGGGTAATAAGATACACCGCAACCAACAATAACCGTACCCGTATTGTTAGGTGATTTGGCATAAAAACATTAATGAAGCAAATCCATCATGTTCATAATGCAACATATCGTCGATGTCGTCTTAATCAAAAGGAAGTGACAAATATTTGCAATCACGGCCAAACCTTCAACAGGCCTTAATCGAACAAGAAGGCACATACTTTATTAGGTACATTATTCAATAGCCTTGCGTATCACCTATTAAAATGTGCTAATATGACAATGACAATTACCTATTGGGATATTAAAATTGCCTTAATTTTTTAGAAGTTTTGGCAATCGTGTCATCAGTAGCCAGTAGATCAAACTAAAAGAAATCCTTCAAGTTATCTGACTAAATATTTACCAAATGGTCGCTGCCATCTCCCGCCCTCGCCCCAACACCCATCCCCGCCCCCATCACCTAAAGAAGAAAAAGACGGACAGAAAGAACACAGGAGAAGGAAGAAAAGACGCATGGGAAAAGTCAACGTTACAATTTTTGTCAGCTATTAAAATATATTTTAGTTCATCCAAGGTTCTTGATGTACTTTCTTTTCTTTTGTTCAATATTTCCGCATATCAAGTATTATTTTTGATGTTACTGCTGTTAACAATATATATATTACGATTATTATTAACAATAGCTTCATTATTATCATTATAATTTTCATCGTTATCAGTATTTTTTTTTTCTTTTTAGTTTTATTTGTTTGCAGGGTAGCGTTGTCAGATACAAAAATGCTTTCTATATTGGCTCTGTTGGCCCAGACAAGAATATGATAAAAGACAAATATTATTAGGTATAGCACACCAAAAATAAGTACAACAAACACATGTTATTTGATGATTGCAAATGATCAAGCTTCATGAAAACTTCAAAAAACAAAAATAATAGAATTGAAATCGGTCAATGCGTTGTGATTTTATACCATTATTTGGATATAGCAAAATTACCGAAAAACCTGCCAGAAATGGTCAAATTGGCAAAAATGGCAAAATTCGACAAAGTTGACAACTTAATTCTTCAGTTTCTTGGACTCAAATGATAAATTAAATTATCAGACACTAAAGTATCATCTTTGTGGTAAAAAATACAAAAAAGAAAATTCATATATCTATTACCGTTTGAAAACAGTAGCAAACAAAATAAGTCATTTTTGCCATTTTTGCGAATCTGCAGATATGAAAAAGTTGTGAAAATAACTGAGTCCACCTAATTAATATGCGCATATGAAATCAAATCAAAACCGAACATGATACATTAGTGAAACTTATGTAAATCAGACAGGTATGAAAATTTATATTTTTGTTGAGGAAAAACAAAATGATGAATATTCATCAAATATGCAAATTAGGTCATTTCAGCTAATTAAATATTTTTTATATATATAGGAAAGTAAAACTGTTTATTTTGTTAGCATTTTTTAAATTATGTATTTATAGATCAGATTTACACCAAATATTAACATTAAATTCCAATTTGTTTTGCAATGCCAATAAAATATGGCGATGGAAATTACTTGGATCACCATTACAGCAATTTTCTCATATGTTTCACAAATTATTCAGAAAAACCGATCAAATGATAAGAATTTGCAGACTCTCAACTACATCACAGTATATGTTTCTTTTTGAAAAAATGTCAGATTTGAGAATTTATGACGATTTTCCGAGAAACCATTCAACAGGCCTTAACATTCTACAAGGACTGAATTTCAGAAAAAACAAAATTTGGTGACCCCAGTACAATCGTGGCTACCTTGAATGTAAACAACAAATTGATTTAATGAGTGGAACATATGAGGATATTGCATTTTTGTAGGGGAGTTTTATACATTGAAGTGAATTTTCACCACGCAGAATAACAGTCAACGGGCGATCAGCCGGCCATGTCACACATGGCTGAAAAGACAATATTCTAATTAATAATTTAACATATTTCCCACATGCCTATAACAATGAAACTACACAGAATTGTAGTCAAAGGTATGCTTGAAAGATATGTGAAATAAAAATTTAAAAATATTGTTCAGTTTTGTTTAAAATAAATTTACGTAAATTGCTATTTCTACCAACTGACAACTTGTGTGTGTGTGTGTGTGTGTGTGTGTGTGTGTGTGTGCATGGGGCAGACTGTGTGCATGGGTAGTGTGATCACCCTAATATTATGTGCGAGTTAATTGCAAAGTTTGTACTAAATAATGATTTTAAAGCCCGTATGCACCAGTTTGGCCAGGGGGTTAGACCTCCCTGCAACGTCACTGGCTCTCACTTAAGAAAAGAGGAATCATGGGGATCAACAGGCACCGATTAGGCATTGTTTGCTACATAGAGGGCGCAATCAGCTATAACTAGTGCAGTGTGGCGTTAAGGCAAACCAAGAAAAGCATATCAATAATGAGGTCGAATTCAAAGACTTTCCTTGAAAATTACAACAACAACAAAAAATAATGTGATTTCGCTTGTGTACGTCAACTATCATCCTCACCATTCTATTTTGTCATTTTGATAGTCTATCAAATATGCTAGTAGTGCTATTTGAACATGAATCGTCGCAATAGTCTAAGAGTGGATTAATAAGGCAACAACATAAAATTTTCACAAACTCGTTTGGTAGTACATGTTTTGCAGATCGTCTCAAGAACCCGATTCGTTGTGAGACCTTTCGGGCTGTATAGTCAATGTGTTCTTTCCACAACAATTGTTCATCAAGCATTACGTCAAGATATTCGAATATCTTAAATCTTTCAACGAGGGAACTGCTGTGAGTCTTTGACGATTACCTAACAACATAAAGAATTTTCTTCTACACATGTATTGTCAGCTTATTATGAAGACAATTGTAGTCCGTGTTGCATATTTTGTGTAATTCATGTGCATTTGTTGCACACCACCATTCTCATCAGCATACATATTTGCCTTACATTGTAAAACAGTGAAAGCAGAGGTTAAACAACTTGTTTATGTAAACGACATCAGTGGTCCTAATACTGAGCCCTGTGGTACCCCCATTTGTTATTTTGGCAAGCGATGACATGTACTAATCTACTGAATTTGCTTAGAGTCTGCCACCAATATATGACTTAAACCACTGCAACTCATGACCCCTGACTCCGACATCATATATTTTTTCTATCAATATATCAGCAGTATATCATTATCATTATTGTTATTATCGTTATCATTATTTTTTAAAGTTTTGTTTGTATAATTAAAACCAATATAGTCAGAACGACAACCTGAGAGACTGACATTGTCGGTCTCGTGAACGCACGAATTAGTCTTGTAAAGTTCCTCAAAACCGTCATGTCGGTTCCATAAGCCGTCGATTTTATGAACAGTCGGTTGAGTCTTTAGGTGATACATGAGACTGATCGCCGGTCTCGTGAATACAGACAGGTCTGTCGGTCTAGGCATGCCGTCGATCAATTGGGCTGTAACCAAATGTTTTAAAGGATATCATGTAAGTGATTCAGCACATCTTCACCGAAGCAGCACTATAGGTTGAGTAGTAATCATGCGGTACGGGACGGCAAAAGAAGGGTCTTGAAAACATTTTTGAAGATGTGAAGCGGGAATCAATAATTGGTTGAGTTGGCAACGCAATACACAAGAAAGATCCATCAATCAAACTGTATCTCACAATACCAGAGGACAATAATCTTCGCAACTAAAGTCTTACATAAGGTAATGCCGAGGTCAGGCGATACGGGACGGCCATAGTAGACTCTTAAAGACCTCTTTGAAGATGGGATGCTTGAATCCATAGATGATTGGATTGACAACGCTATTTGTTAGCATGATCATAGGGGCATAGAGCGTAAATACATTGTCACTAGGTATCATAAAATCTATGCTTAGTGGTAGGATACAGAGCACTAGCACACCAACAACCATGGAGAGATTCTTGGTGATTTCGACCTCCATTTTGCTGATGGCATTGATTTTGAGTAGACGGGACTCTCGAGACGTGGACGAGGCCTGGCTCTCGTGGTTCAATGTTGCGCCAGATCTGATGTCTTCAGCAGTTGTGAACTTGTCGCGGATCTGCTTGCGGTGCCGTAAAACATGACGCAACACCAGAAGATATAACATCAGCATTAGCATCAAGACAATGGCCATTTGAATTCCTGTGAGTAAGATGTAACAAAATCCAAAAAAGTTTGTGACTGTAAGGCCACACAATTGATGGTATTTGGAATACCCAAATGTCCCCTTGCCTAGAACAAGTGGTAGGATCACCAACTCAATGGATTCTATCCAGATAAGCACCACTAAAGCAACGACTTTTTTTGGAGTATGGATACCCTGATGGCCGCGGACAGATCTAGTAATGACGTACCAACGGACGAATGCGATGGCGAGCAGGGTCAAACTGCTACACGACACACAGGTTAAGACGACTCCTGCGATGGTTGTGCAAATCATATCATGCATGGGATAGCTTCCTGTTTGACTTAAGAGGCCCGCGCTCATGAACGGGAAGCAGAGACACGTTATAAAATCGGTGACAGCAAGGTTGATGACCAAAATGTTGGTGATTGTACGAAGTTTCTTCGCGACAACAACGGCGATAATGACGAGGGCATTACCAAACAGACCAATCGGTGTCAATGCGATCAGGATTGATGCGACAATAGCTCGATGGTGGAACGCTATCACCGATGAATCTGTAAGATTCCCCAAACTTTGTTCTAAACCCATCCAACCTATCGTTGTTGCTGCCATCGTGAAGAAATCAAATTTACCCTGTGACTAAATTCGTAAGAGCACTTTCGTTCTGGTGGTCGATGTCTTATCCGGATTCGATTTTGATAAATTGTTGTCACTAATCAGCAACATTAATTGTCTCATACCATTCACCAAGGCCTATTGAAAATTACAAATAGTAGGTGATATCCACCTAAACTTACTTTGTAAATGAAATCGTGAAGTATTCGACATCAGTCTGAGATCTGTATTATTTACAAGCAGAGTCGACCTTGTGTTCTGTGTTTAAGAAATTGATCGACTTTGCTATAGTGTTGCTGGTCCCGGTATCAGTGTCTCTTGCCTTCTACTACAAACCAGAACCTAATATCCAACGATGTCTTATTCGATGCTTTTATAGCCCGACACGGAGATTTAAAAGTCAACTCGCCACTTTACGTTTAACGGTGTAATTGTCACCAAAGTCTGGGCGTCATATTTTTGTAATATGGACATGTAAATAACGAAACGTCATTTGATTTGATGATGTCTAACAATTGTGAAGTCCCATAGAAATATATCCGCCTCTACAAGAACATGACTGACAATAAATCTCCGAGTAATAAGATACACCGCAACTTCCAATAACTGTAACCGTATTGTCAGGTAATTTGACATGACAACATGAATGAAAGAAGACCGTCATGTTCACAAAGCAACATTTTGTCATTGTCGTCTCGATCAAAGGGGAATGATAAGTTTTTGCAATCACGGCCCAAACTTCGACAGGCCTACATCGAACACAAAGGCACAAACGTTATTAGGTACATAATTCATTGGACTTGCGTGTCATCTATTGAAATGTGCAAATATGACAATGGCATATCACTCATTGGGATATTAAATTGCGTTAATTTTTGGAAAATATTTGCAAAAGTGTCATCAGTAGCGAGTAACTCGAACTAATGACAAATCCTTCAGGTAATCTGACTGAAGATTTTTACCAAATTATCTTTTCCATCTCCCTCCCCCGCCCCCTTAAAGCCCGTCAATACTAGTGAACAGGAGGCATTATAATACACTGCAAGGTCACTGGACAGGTTAGTTATCTCATCAAATCAGCTCTCAATTACCATGGATCATGGGGGACCAATGGTCACCGATTATGCATTATTAGTTATATAGAGGGAGCAAGTAGCTATAAGTAGTGCAGTGTGGCTTGAAAAAGGCCAGGGAGAAAGAAATCAGGGAAGGAAGAACAGACTCATGGGGAAAGTCAACGCTAATAGAGTTGGTAGCTATTAAAGTATATTTTAATTTCTCTGACAAATTTCCATGATTGTCTGTTTTACGGTTGTTTTCATAATTCCGCATATTAAATATTGTTATCATTTTTTGTTCTTGTGTAGTTGTTGTTTTATTTTTAATATTTTGTTCAGAATCATTACTATCATCGTCATCATTATTCTGCTTGTTACTGTTATAATTGTCGAATTTGAATCACGTCAAAACACATACAAGCACACAAAAACAGAAAAGTAATGGCAACAAAGAATGCTTTAAACTGATGATTGCAAAACACCTGTAGTGGGTCAAATGACGGGGGAGGGTATTACTACTGGGGCGTGTGTCTTTCAGTTGATTAGTAGATGCACACAATTATCTGTCGTGCCAGAAAGCGAAAGTTTTCAGGTGATACATGAGACCTATAACTGGTCTCGTGGATAATTGGTCTGTTGGTCTCGCATGCCGTCGTTCAATTGAGGTGTTTCCAATCATCGTAAAGGATATCCTGTAAACGATTCAGCACACCTTCATCGAAGCAACACTTCAGGTTTATAGGTAATCAAGCGGTACGGGAAGGTCATACGAGGCTCTTGAAGACCTCTTTAAAGATAGGATGCTTGAATCCATAGACGATTGGATTGACAACGCTATTTGCCAGCATGATCATGGAGCTATAGATCCTGAATGTATCGTCACAGGGTATAGGTATTACTACTGTTATCATCATCATTCTAGTGGTTGATGTTTTTATCATTATAAACAAATATTACCAGGACGACTGCTGTTGTTAGTCTCGTAAACGCACGAATAATCATTGAAAGTTTCGCGAGACCGTCATATCGGTCGCGCATTTCGCTGGTCAATTGGGCTGTATCGAAAAATCGTAAAGGATATCTGGTAAACGATTTAGCACACCTTAACCGGAACAACACTGGTTGATAAGTGATCAAGCGGCACGGGAAGGCAATAGGAGGCTCTTGAAGACCTCTTTGAAGATGGGATGTTTGAATCCATAAATGATTGGATTGACAACGCTATTTGCCAAGATAGTCATGGAGCTATAGATCAGCAATGCATTGTCACCGGGTATCATAAGATGTATGCTTTGTGGTAGGGAACAGATCAAGAGCACACCAACAACCACGAAGAGATTCTTGGTGATTTCGACCTCCATTTTGTTGATGGCATTGATCTTGCGTGGATGGGACCCTCGAGGCGTGGACGAAACCTGGCTCTGGTTGTTCAATGTTACGCCAGATCTGATGTCTTTAGCAGTTGTAAACATGTTGCGGATCTGCTTGCGGTGCCGTAAGACATGACGCAACACCAGGAGATAAAATATCAGAGTAAGCACCAGGGCAACGGCTATATGAATTCCCATGAATACGATATAATAAATTCCAAAAAGGTTTGTGACTGTTAGGCCACAAACTTGATGGTATTTGTCAAACTCTAATGTCCCAATGCCTAAAATATGTGGTAGGATTATCAATATGACCGATTCTGTCCAGATGATCACAACTAAAGTAATGACTTTCTTTGGAGCATGGATACCTTGGTGGCCGCGGACGGATCTCGTTATGACGTACCAACGGACGAATGCGATGGCGAGCAGGGTCGTGGTGCTACACCCAACACAAGCAATAACGACTCCTCCGATAGTTGCGCAAATAATTTCATGCATGGGATAGCTTCCCGTTTGACTTAAGAAGCCCGCGCTCAGGAACGGAAAGCACAGACACGTTATAAGATCGGTGACAGCAAGATTGACGACCAAAATGTTGGTGATTGTACGAAGTTTCTTCGCGACGACGACGGCAACGATCACAAGGGCATTACCAAACAGACCAATCGGTGTCAATGCGATCAGGATTGATGCAACAATAGCTCGATGATGAAACGCTACCACCGGAACCTCAGTAAGATTTCCCAGACTTTGTTCTGAATCCGTCCAATCTATCGTTGTTACTGCCATCGCGAAGAAATCAAAACCGCCCTGTGACTATATTCGTGAAGTACTCTTGTTCTGGTAGTTACTGTTTCATCCAGAAGCGATTTTGATAAAGTGCTGTCTCTATTAAAATTAGCAGCATTCCTCGGGTCATACCATTCACCACGGCCTTATAACCAATCACGAATGATAATAGGTAATATTCACCTAATCTACCGTATAAAATTCCATCGTGAAGTAATCTGTGATTATATTCTTTAAAAGCAGCCTCTATCTGCCGTTCAGTGTTTAAGAAATTGAAAACGACTTTGCTCTCGTGCTGCCGTTCCCAGTATAAGTGTCTCTCGCCTCCTAATAAAAACCAGAACCTCATATTTAACCGTGCCTCATTTAATATCTATATAACATACGCAGATATTTACAAGTCATCTCGCCACTGAGCGTAATTAGAACATGTCAATAACATAACGTCATTTCATTTGAACATGCCAAATAAAAGTGAAGTCCCTAATCAAAGAACCGCTTCTCCCATAACATGACGGACAATCATTTTCCGGTTAATTATGTACGCCGCTGCCCCCAATAACCGATACCGTATTTTTAGGTGATTTTACATGACAACATGAATGAAGAAAAGCCATCACGTTCACAATGCAACGAATTGTCCAGGTCGTTGCGATCAAAGGGGAGTGATAAGTTTTTTTGCAATAACGACCCTCACTTTGACAGGCCTAGATCGAACACGAAGGCACAGACTTCAATAGGTACATTATTCAATAGTCTTGTGCGTCACCTATTGAAATGTGTGTATATGACAATGGCATATTACCTATTGGGATACTGAAATTGTGTCCAATTTATTGGAAATCTTGGCGATCGTGTCATCGGTAGCCAGTAAGTCGAACTAATTGCAAATCCTTCATTCAACCTAACTAAAGATTTACCAATAGGTCTTTGCCATCTCCCGCCCCCGCCACCGCCCTGACCCTCAGTACTTAAAAAAAGGGGGAAAAGAAAACAGGATAAGGAAGGGCAGACACATGGGGAAAGTCAACGCTAATAGAGTTTTCAGCTATCAAAGTATATTTAATTTATCCAATAAGGCTACTTGATTGACTTTCTTGGATTGTTTTTAAATACTTTCGCATATTAGCTGTTATCATGATTATTTTTCTTGCTGTTAGGATTATTATTATCTTTGCTACTATTAACAATATCTACATTTCTATCATCGTTATTATTTTCACCATCAGTAGTTTTTCTTCATGTTATATTCAGTTCGATTTGTATAGGGTAGCGTTGTCAATTACAAAACTTCTTTCCACATTAGCCATGTTGGTCTAGACAATAAGATAATTAAAGATTGAAAGTATATACATATTAATTGCTAAGTTCTACTTCGTGTACCAGATTATGATTTAAGGCAAACTAAGAACAATTTATCAATAATGAAATCGAATTTAAAGACTTACGTTGAAAGGTATAACAACAAGGAGAAAAAAAACTATATGAGTTCATGGATGTGCATCCAGAATCATTCTATCCTTTGCATTATGTAATTTTGATAGCATGTCAAGTTTGCTTGTAGTCGTATTCGACCATGCAACATCGCAATAGTCTAAGATTGGATTAATGAGGCAAGAAAATAACATTTTCACATATTCGTTTAGTAGTACAGGTTTTGCAGATCGACTCAAGAGCCCGATCGTTGCGAGACCTTTCGGGGTATAGAGTCAATGTTTTTTTGTAGTGGTATTTGAACAATTGTTCATCAAGCATTACGCCAAGATATTTTAATATCTTAAATCTTTCAACGAGATGACTCAAGAGGATTCAATCTAAATCAGAAAATTATGTAAGTCTTTGACGAGTATCTAACAACACAAAAATTTGCTTCTTCAAATTGATTGCGAGCTTAATTTGAATAAAAACCTTTTTCTACCATTTGTAGTCCACGTTGCATATTATTTTATAATTCATGTGTATTTTTTGCTATTAACAGCAGAGAAATATTACCAGCATACGTATTTACTTTACATTGTAAGCCAGTGAAAGCAGAGTTTAAACTATTGATGTATATAATAAACATCAATGGTCCTGATACTGAGCCATGTGGTACCCCATTTGTTATTTTGGCAAGCGATGACATGTGCTAATCTATTTTATTTGCTTGGCGTCTGTCACCAATATATAACTGAAACCACTGCAATTCATAACTCCGGCTATATGTAACTTTTCTAACGATATATAAGCAGTATATAATTATAGTTAATAATGTAGATATTATTAATTTTGTCGTCATATTTCTTGTGGTTGCTGTTTTTTTTTAATTATAACTAAATATTACCAGGACGACCGCTCAGGTCACTCACGTAAACGCACGAATTCTCATTGAAAGTCTCGCATGCCGTTGGTCAATTGGCTGTATCCAACCATCGTAAAGGATATCTGGTAAACGATTTAGCACACCTTAACCGAAACAGCACTTCAGGTTGATATTTGATCAAGCGATACGAGAAGGCCATAGTAGGCTCTTGAAGATCTCTTTGAAGATGGGATGTTTAAATCCGTAAATGATTGGATTAACAGCGCTATTCGCGAGGATAATCATGGTGCTATAAATAATTAATGCATTGTCGCCGGGTATCATAAGATTTATGCTTTGTGGTAGGGAACAGATTAAAAGCACACCAACAACCACGAAGAGATTCTTGGTGATTTCGACCTCCATTTTGCTGATCGCATTGATCTTGGGTGGACGGGACTCTCGAGACGTGGACGAAGCCTGGCTCTGGTTGTTCAATGTTGCATCAGATCTGATGTCTCCAGCAGTTGTGAACATGTTGCGGATCTGCTTGCGGTGTCGCAAGACATGACGCAACACCAAGAGATAAAATATCAGGGTGAGCATCATGGCAATGGCTATGTGAATCCCCAAGAATACGAGGTAATACATTCCAAACAAGTTTCCGCCTAAAGCGCCACACGTTTGAAGGTATTTGAAATACCCGATTGTCCCAATGCCTAGAAGAATAGGTAGGACTACCAATGAGACCGATTCTGTCCAGATGATCACAACTAAAGCAACGACTTTCTTTGGAGTATGGATACCTTGGTGGCCGCGGACGGATCTCGTAATTACGTACCAACGGACAAATGCGATGGCGAGCAGGGTCAAGCTGCTACACCCCACACAGGCAACGAAGACTCCTCCTGTAGTTACGCAAATAATATCATGCATGTGATAGCTTCCTGTTCGACTTAAGAGGTCCACGCTCAGGAACGGAAAGCAGAGACACGTTATAAAATCGGTGACAGCAAGGTTGATGACCAAAATGTTGGTGACTGTACGAAGTTTCTTCGCCACGACGACGGCGATGATGACGAGGGCATTACCAAAGAGACCGATCGGTGTCAATGCGATCAGGATTGATGCGACAATAGCTCGATGGTGGAACGCTATCACCGAAAGCTCAGTAAGATTACCCAGACTTTGTTCTGAATCCGTCCAATCTATCGTTGTTACTGCCATCGCGAAGAAATCAAAATTCCCCTGTGACTATATTCGTAAAAGCGTTTATTTTTCTGGTGATCACTGTTTAATCCTGATGATCGATTTTGATAAAGTGCTGCCTCTAATCGGTTGCATTCCTTGTCTCATACCATTCACTACGGCCTAATAATAATTAATCCCGAATACTAGATGATATCCACCAAGTCTATCACATTAAATGCCATCGTGAAGTACTCGACATCGATCTGTGACTTTATTCTTTAGAAGCAGCCTCAATCTGGTGTTTAGTGTTCAAAACATTGAGAAACGAAGTTGCTGTAGTGCTGCTGTTCTCAGTTTCAGCGTTTCTCGCCTTCTAATACAAACCAGAACCTAATATCCAACGATGTCTCATGGGATTTTTTGTATAGCACGACACAGAGATTTAAAAATCATCTCGCCACTTCACGTTTTATAATTGCCCCCAAAGGCAGCGTGCAATTTGAACATGACTAATAAAAGTAACGTTCCTATTCAAAGATCCGCCTCTCCCATAACATGAGTGACAATCTCCGGGCAATTATACACACAGCAACTACCAATAACCGATACCGTATTTTTAGGTGATTTGAAATGACAACATGATGAAGCAAATCCATCACGTTCACAATGCAACGAATCGTCCATGTCGTCGCGATCAAAAGGGGAGCAATACATTTGTGTAATTACGACCCACACTTTGACAGGCCTAGATCGAACACGAAGGCACAGTCTTCATTACGTACATTATATATTAGCCTTGTGTGTCACCTATTGAAATGTGCGAATATGACAATGACATATTACCTATTGGGATATTGAAATTGCCTTATTTTTTGAAAGTCTTCGCAATCGAGTCATCAGTGGCCATTAAATCGAACTAATTCAAATCCTTCCTGTAATTTGACTGAAGATTTACCTAATGGTCTTTGCCGTCTCCCAACCCCACCTCCGCCCCGGCCCCATCACTTCAAAAGACCGAAAGAAAGTAAACACGATAAGGAAGAGCAGACGCATGTTGAAAGTCAACGCTAATAGTAAAGTTTTCAGCTATAAAAGTATATTTAATTTTTCCATCAAGGTTCATTGATAAATTGACTTACTCTGGTTCTTTTCATTACTTCCGCATATTACTTATTGTCATTATTATTAATATTATTATTATTTTTAGCATTATTATAATTTTAAATATTAACAATATCTACATCATTATCATTGTTATTTTTATTATCATCATCAGTATTTTGTATTTATTTTATATTCAGTTTTATTTTTACAGGGTAGCGTTGTCAGTTACAAAACTGCTTTCCACATTGGCCCTGTTGGCCTAGACAAAAAGATGATTAAAGATTGAAATTATATACAAATTAATTGCTAAGTTCTATTTCGTGTACCTGATTATAATATAAGGCAAACTAAGAACAATTTATGAATAATGAAGTCGAATTTAAAGACTTTCGTTGACAACTACAACAAAAACTACTTAAACTATGTGGGTTCGTGGATGTGCATTTAGAATCATTCTATCTAGGCCTATTCCATTAAGTAATTTTGATAGTATATCAAGTTTTCTTGTAATGGTATTTGACCACGCAACATCGCAAAAGTCTAATACAAGTGTTTATAATAGAACAACTTAACATTTTCGAAAACTCGTTTGGTAGTACAGGTTTTGCAGGTGTCTCAAGAACCCAATTCGTTGTGAGACCTTTCGAGATATAGAGTCAATGTATTCTTTCCACAACATTTGTTCATCAAGCATTACGCCAAGATATTTGAATATCTTAAATCGTTCAACGAGATGACTGAAGAGGATTCAATCTTAATCAGTTCCTTTGAAAACATGGTTTGAAGTGCAACCGGAGTAATTGAAATTAATCAAGTATGTCTTTGACGAGTTTCTAACAAAACAAAAATTGTCTTATTCAAATTGATTGTGAGCTTATCTTGAAGAAAACCCCATTTTCTGCCATTTGTAGCCCACGTTGCATAACATTTTGTCATTCATGTGCATTTTGTGCTCTTAACAGCAGTGCAGTACCACCAGCATACATATCTACTTTACATTGTAAACCAGTGAAAGCAAAGTTTAGACTATTGATGTAAATAATAGACATGTGCTAGTCTGATTGTATTTGCTTGGGGTCTGTCACCCAAATATGACTTAAACCACGGCAACTCATGACCCCTGACTCCGGCATCATGTAACTTTTCTAATAATATATCAGCAGTATATCATTATCATTAATAATGTAGGTATTATTATTATCCTCGTCATCGTTATTGTTGGTTGTTTTTATAATTAAACCTTAATATTACCAGGACGAGAGCTTGCGAGACTGAGATTGTCTGTCTCGTAAATGCACGAATAATCATTGAAAGTTTTGCGAGACCGTCATATCGGTCTCGCATGCCGTTGGTCAATCGGGCTGTATGTAACGAACGTAAAGGATATCTGGTACACGATTTAGCACACCGAAACAGCACTTCAGGTTATGTCGAGCTCAAGCGGTACGGGAAGGCCATAGGAGGCTCTTGAAGACCTCTTTGAAGATGGGATGTTTAAATCCATAGATGATTGGATTGACAACGCTATTTGCCAGGATGATCATGGAGCTATAGATCATTAATGCATCGACGCCGGGTATCATAAGATTTATGCTTTGTGGTAGGGTACAGATCATGAGCACACCAACAACCACAGAGAGATTCTTGGTGATTTCGACCTCCATTTTGTTGATGGCATTGATCTTGGGTGGACGGGACTCTCGAGATGTGGACGAAGCCTGGCTCTGGTTTTTCAATATTGTACCAGATCTGATATCTTCAGCAGTTGTGAACATGTTGCGGATCTGCTTGCGGTGTCGTAAAACATGACGCAACACCAGGAGATAGAATACCAGGGTAAGCATAAGGGCAATGGCTATGTAAATTCCCATAAATAAGAGGTAATAATTTCCAAACAAGTTTGTGCCTTTAAAGCCACATATTTGAAGGTATTTGAAATACCCGAATGTCCCAATGCCTAGAACAAGTGGTAGGGCTATCAATGCGAGCGATTGTGTCCAGATGATCACCACTAAAGCAACGACTTTCTTTGGAGTATGGATACCTTGGTGGCCGCGGACGGATTTCGTTATGACATACCAACGGACGAATGAGATGGCGAGCAGGGTCGAGCTGCTACAGTACGCACAGGCAATTATGATTCCCCCTGTAGTTGCGCAAATAATATCATGGATAGGATAGCTTCCTGTTTGACTTAAAAGGCCCGCACTCAGGAACGGGAAGCAGAGACACGATATAAAATCGGTAACAGCAAGGTTAGTGACCAAAATATTCGTGATTGTACGAAGTTTCTTCGCGACAACGACGGCGATGATGACGAGGGCATTACCAAAGAGACCGATCGGTGTCAATGCGATCAGGATTGATACGACAATAGCTCGATGGTGGAACGCTATCACCGAAAGCTCAGTAAGATTACCCAGACTTTGTTCTGAATCTGTCCAATCTATCGTTGTTAGTGCCATCGCGAAGAAACCATAATCTCACTTTGACTATATTCGTAAAAGCGCTCCTGTTCTGGTGATTATTGTTTCATCCTGAATCTATTTTGATAAAGTGCTTCCTCTAATCAGCAGCATTCTTTGTCTCATACTATTCACTGCGGATTATAACCAATCACGAATAATAATATGTGATATCCACCTAGTCTACCGCATTCAATACCATCGTAAAGTAATCGCATCGATCTGTGACTTTATTCTTTAGAAGCAGCCTCAATCTGGTGTTTAGTGTTCAAGAAATTAAGAAACGACTTTCCTATAGTACTGCTGTTCCCAGTATCAGCGTCTCTCGCCTTCTAATACAAACCAGAACCTAATATCCAACGATGTCTTATCCGATGCTTTTATAGCACGACACAGAGATTTACAAGTCATCTCACCACTTCAGGTTTAACAGTATAATTGCCCTAAAAGACGTGTGATAATTGAACATGTCTAATAAAAGTGACGTTCCTATTCAAAGATCCGCCTCTCCCATAACATGACTGACAATCCCCGGCCAATTATACACACCACAACCACCAATAACCGATACCATATTTTTAGGTGATTTGAAATGACAACATTATGAAGCAAATCCATCACGTTCACAATGCAACGTATCGTCGACGTGTCACTATCAAAAAGGGAGTGATAAGCTTTTGTGATCACGACGCATACTCCGACAGGCCTAGCTTGGCGATCGTGTCATCAGTACCCAGTTAATCGATTTACAATAGCAAATCTTTTGCCTGAATATTTACCGAATGGCCTCCGTCCACCAAACAAAAAGAAAGAAGGAAAGACAGAAAGGGAGAAAAAGGATATGCAAGAACAGACACGTTGAGGGAGTTAAAGGAATAGTTGAGTTCTGTTGCAGAGGGCGCTACACAAAATATTTTTTTGTGAGATAATGAAAGACTGAGTGTCAAATTTGAAAAAACATACAATATTTAAAAACAAATTTAAAAACAAAATCATCTTTTTTTATCATAATCGGTTCAGAGACGGCTGAAATATCCATAAATATAACCATTTCTAATATTTGTGTACCACCACAAATATTAGATAATTTGAACCAGCCGTTTAAAAATCAAAATAGAGCCTTATACGTTTTATTCCAGCCAATGCCGATGTTGGGTTTTTTTTTTTTTTTTTTTGGGGGGGGGGGGGGCTTTTTCGTGATGGTTATATTACGCACAACCAGCAGGCCAATGTATTGTTATTATTATTTATTAATTAATTCGTCGCTGTTTTCACGAAGTGACGGTAGTGAACAAAAATTGCATTCACTTTGCGTGACGATTTTCCTCACTACCGTCACTTCGTGAAAACAAGGACGAATTAACGGTCACCGTATTTTTTTTAAAGTAGAGCTGAATTGGTATGATCGTATTGGCTGAATTTCACTTATTTGGGGTTCTAAAATTACCTTCATAACAATTTTAGGTCCTATAAGGGCACTAGAAATGTCATAAATGAGAATGGTTTTTGACAAAATTCAAATCGGGGCAAGCGTTGACATGCTCTCATCTATTTCATTGCAGTCTGTCATTTAAATAATAAGTATTAGGCAACTGCCACTCATAACCCCTGACTCCGGCATCATGTAACATTTCTAATTATATATCAGCAGAATATTATTATTATCAATACAATTTGTAATATCGTCATTATTATTGTGGTCGCTGTTGTTGTTGTAATTTTTTTGTATTATCATTATTTTTATTATGAATATCGGATCACGTGATTGACGTAAAAGCACTCATGAGCACACGCAAGCAGAAAAGTAATGGAAACAAAGACAAATTTAAACTTCCAATGGCATAACACCTGAAGTGGGTAAAATGACGAGAGGGGTGGGGGCACGATAACCGGAGCATGTGTCTGTCAGCTGATTAGTAAATGCACACCATGATCTGTCGTGCCAGAAAGCAAAATAGCTCGGTCTGGTGAAGAAATGAGCAATATTAGGGGCAGTTACACTGTCATCCAAACACGCCAAAAAATGCCAAACCGGAGCCTGGCCGCGATGTTACCAAGGGCAACTACGCTTTACCGGCAGACATGCCAAGCCCCAAACATTCCAAAACGAAGTGTGATCTTTTGGCGTGTTTTGGCGTGTTTTGGCGTGTTTGGCAAGTATAACCGCTCGCAGTTGTAACATCGCGATGTTAGGCACGTGACTTCCGGCACTTCCGGATTGTTACCCGCGCTCTTTTAAACCACGTTCTTCCCGTGTGATATTTATAGCATTTCCATCGTCGCGCGTGTTATCCGTTCATTCAGCTCCGTTTGTTCCAATTCCGTTAACTCATCCTTTATTCAATCTTCGTTATTCCCGTCTGGCCATATCTGTCTAGTAGTAGTATTTGAGTGTTTTGTTAGATTAATTAATATGGAAGTGAACAATTCCCATTGGACTGATGATGAGATGAAGTTCTTGATTTCGATGTGGAGGCAGGGAGAGCTCCTCCACCAGACTTCCAAGCGTCCCTGCAAACGTGGGGAAAAGGGCTTCAGAGAAATGAGTGAAAGCATGAAATTAACAATTAACAACGATGATTTTCTTAACCTTCCCATATCGTTTTTACTACTAGATTTCGATTGAATTTGGGAAAACTGAATCAGCAGCCGTAGTCCGTACTTCGTAACTTATCCACTCTTGCCTCAAATACTACACGCGAGATAAACAAAACATATCGCATGCATGCGCATGGGATGTATCGCTATTTAGCTAGCTATAGCGCTAGCTGGAAATTGCGCGCGCTAAAAATCTTACAGCAGGCCGGGGTCAAAGGTCGGGAAGACTGCACATGCGCATTACCAACCGAAACACGCCAAAACATCGCTGAACAGCTCCGTCGGTGATGTTTCAGCACAAGTGTAACCGGGTGCACGAAACATCGCGACTTTTCAAAATGAGGTATTTGACAGTATAAATGCGCCTATTGATTAGATCTTGAGTCTGTAATCCACCTATCCCGACCGCACTGCTGACACCCCGACGTACCCCGCTGAGTACAGCGCGTTGGTGTTGGTGAAACAATCGAATGCGGCTCTCAGGCTGTGGCGCTGCTTTATCGGAATACTGAAGACGTGGAAGAAAAACTATGGTTATATGTTAATCTGCGATAAAATATGCATTTCTAGATGAACAGAATAAATCAGTCGGCTACCGTTAGACCGGGGCGTGTATTACTTCGTGAGACAGATCGATTATGGAGGTGGAGAAATGCATTTAAATTTTTCTGTTGAACTTCTTGTCTGTATTTACAGTATCTCTGATATCAAACAGGCACATACTGTTTTGAAATACACTTAACGCTAAAAGATATAAATGCAATTTGGATCGGAGCATAATGTTTATGCCTTTCTTTTTAAAATACTTTTTCAGACAATGATATTGCCATTATTTCTATGATATATCAAAACAGTACTCTGCGAAATCATTTGTAGAAATGAATGAACATTTACATTTTTTTTAGTAGAAAATTTTCCTCAACGAAACTACTTTAGACTGTTCCGAAAAAATAAGACACCTCGCTATAAACACGATCTGCCTCCTCTTCAAGAAGACAAAAATGTGATTAATCACTCACGCCCTCTACGGATTACCAGTTGTTATAAGACGTAATGCCGGATAAAATAAACATTGAACCTTATTTCAGGAGGATTCCAGCACCAATCAATCTTAACATAGCACTTTAGGGGATAGCTTGAAGAGTCAAACGGAGGCGACAATCGATGGTTAGTTTCGATCCACGTTGGTGGCGCCATTTCAGCTAAAAATCCATATCAGATTGAAATGCGATGTGAGTATGAGTGAAGTGAGTGGGCAGAAAACGGATATTACAAATGGGGAAATCGATATGTGCTGTTGATTTGTTTAGATGACTTCAAACATGTTTTAAATATGCGATTGGATTTTCTTTCTATATAAAGATAAATATTTGTAAAGGTTAGACTGTTTTAAAACTGATAAATTTGATAGACCCTGTTGATTAAGAATTTCATCAGGACCCTAATTGATGCAACATAATTGCGATCATCTGATAACAAATATATGAAGTAATTGCATAATACTGAATTAACCCCTTAAATTCACATCACAAATGGTCGAAATGCTATAATGGGCAACAGCAAGAAATGACGAAGAACCACAAAGGAATAAACAAATAAAAGGAGAGAGAGAGGGGGAGGGAGAGAGAGAGAGAGAGAGAGAGAGAGAGAAGAGAGAGAGATGAAATAGCAGGAATCATACAGAAAAGAGAAACGTGAAAGTACTTTTATATGTCTGGTAAGCCCTCAAAATTGTAAATTACAGTGAAATGGATCACAGCTACGACCGAGTGTGTTATAGCGCCCCCAATAGTTTGATATACTACCTGTAAAATTACACTTGTTACAACATATTTATTTTGCTGTTCAAATTTAATATTTATTTGACTGTTTATCGCTCCCTTTTGACTTTGGGCAGGTCATTTATACAATAACAGATGTTTAATAATAAAGTCGAATTAATTTATCTTAGTCTATTGGATTTGAATTCATATATCATAATTGGATTTTATTTTGTCTTATTTATTTATTTATTAACTTTTTCTTAAAAATTTTTTTGGGGGAGGTGTTTTTTGTTCTTTTGTTATTCGTTTTTGTGTTCGGGTAATTCCAAGAGTTACGGGTTGATAGCTCCAGATCATTTTTAATTTTGACAAGAAATATCATAGATACTTTTACTATTATACTTAAAAATTAAGCTTGGAATTACCCTAATTTCATTTAGTTGAGTTGGTACGTGCTCTGGACATACATGACATATGATTTTGCAAATGATTAATACTAGGTTTAACCATTCGTAGAAGGTCCATTGCTTAACCTTGTTATCATAACTCCAATTAATAGATTTTTAATTTGCAGTCTATTCAATTATATATATTTTTGTAATCCTTCATTAGCTTATTTGGATCCCGAAAATGATATCA